ATAATCTTGAAATTGGGAAATAGAAGAGGTAAAGTGAAAGTAAGAATTAAGAATTCTAAGAGGAATAGAAGAGTAGATGTCACAAGTACAGCTGGGCAACGAGCAAAACAGCCCTGCTATTGGCGCTTATTCCAGTCATCTTCGCTTCTCCGAAACGATACGGCAGCAGAAGCGTTACAAGACAGAGAGAGAAATTAAAAGATTACTTTCTAAAACAACGGCGTCCGGAGATTTAGCTTTCTGCGCATCCTCCTTCTCGCCCTCCTTCGCATCCCCTCCGGCACCCTTCTTCTTCTCCTCCTCTTTCTTCGGCGATTCGTCCACTTCCATCTGCGAAACCATTCTTCTGCAAAAAAAACTTGTAACGAAACTGCTAAAAACTATCGCCTCACCTCAGCAGCGTACCGATCGCACACATAAAAGTTGCAAATAACGCGCCACCGCCTTGCAAAAATGCTGGGAAAAAGACATACCAGAAGAAGGGGCTACAAACCAATGATACATACATACATACACACACACACACACACACAAAGCAAAAACAGGCTAAGCAGCAGCGGCAGTAGCAGCAGCAGCAGTAGCAGCAGTAGCAACAGCAGCAGTAGCAGCAGCGGTAGTAGCAGTAGTAGCAGCAGCAGCAGCGGCAGTAGTAGCAGATTGGTAAATGCATATGCAGACGCAATTCTCACAGCACTTGCAAACTTCGCAAACAGTAAAATATGATGCGATCATTGGTGAGCAGAGCCGGGAAAAGCCAAAGCACAGAGAGAAGATATTCGCTACCGTTCTCGCAGCTATATGGAGAGGCGCCTTTGCGTAGCCAGGGTAGGAGGTGTATAGACGACCTCAAGGGGCTGTAAAATGCGCCTACCCTGATACGTTACACATCACATATGAGTGACCTGAACAGCCATAAAAATCCTTCCCTTCTATTTTTTTTAACTTACGCCGGCACCACATTCAAACTACCGCCATCCGCCATGGGGCAACACATAAATTCATCGCATTTTAAACAACAGGAGGCTTTCTTCAGTTGGCTACCGTGATTGCTCATA